AATCATTTGCTGTCTTGCCTAAAACCACTTGCAGGGGCTGCCCAAGGAGAGCATGGATGGAAACCTATGCCTGAGTTATGGGTTTTGGCATGGATTTGTAACTGGCCATGACTTAATCAGGGCAATCTGAAAGCTAGATGAGCCTGGAGTCTGTTTTTATCCAGGAGTCCAGCAGCTGGACAGGAAACAACATGCTGACTCAAGGCGTTTCGACTCAGAGCTGGAGAAATTACAGTCGGGTTCTGTGCCCCAGCCACCACCCCAGATGGCACCCGCCATGCTGACCACCAGCAGCAGCAGCGGTGCTCAGCTGTGCACCTTCAAACCAGGCCCCCTGGAAGATGAAGAGGTATCCTGAAGAGCTGCTAGTCCTGTTGGGAAAGCAAAAGATTAACTTCCAAGCACACCCGCTAGGATCAGACCTGACCTACCTCCCTCTCCCTTTGGAGGGAAGGGATGTTCAGGCAGGAACCACCCATCCCCAGCAGAAAAACCCTTCTACTTTTCCACACAGCCTCCTGGAAAACATACCCTGCTGCTCCTGCTGCCATGGCACTACCAGGGGACACCAGACAAGCCTGCTTGCACTTGGGGAAGGTCCACAAATGTCCCCAGTCCTGAAGCTTCTGGGGCTGGACCGCACCAAGCTGTTTTGTTCCCCATCCCCTGGAGGGCTTGGCCTCCCTGAACCATGGAAAGAAAGAGCCTGCAACTTTTTCTGGCTTTTTTTTTCCCTGAAATTCCCCAAATTGAACATCCCTGCTCTTATGGAGCAGAATATGGTTAATAAGCACAGGGCTGGCACATTGGCAGCCCTGCAAACCAGCGCAAGGGAATGAAACAGCAAGGTGGGGGCAACAGACTGGAAGAGCAACTTTTTAATAGCAAAGGACTTCAAAAGAAGGAGGGAGAAAAGGGGAGAGAGTTATAGGAAACAACAGAAGTCAAAATAACAGCATATTGAGATAGTTAAACCGCTGATCTTCCCATGATCTTTGAAGAAAAGTGGTATCAAGCAAAAAAAGTGACAGAAAATAAAACAAGAAATACGTGCTAAACAACTAGAAAACAATTCCCTCTTACTGTCACAGTGCTATGAGTTAGGCACTGTGTTTCACAAAATAAATCACGGCTACAAACCCAAGACTTTTGAATTGCTGGATAAAACATCAGAAACAGTGTCTTGAGTAATTCAACCCAGACCAAGCCACGCTAGTTCCCTGAAATCAGGGTTCTGCTGCCTGCTCCACTGTCGCCTGTGCAAGCGTCGCTGCGATAAGCGAACCAGAACTGCTTTGAACATAAACATCCTGAAAGATGCTTTAGCCTTTATGTTCAAGGCAATAGTAAAGAATAAGTGCGCAAGGACATGAGCGCATGGTTTGGGTTTTTTCAATAAATTCTGTATTTTACATTGCTTTGTAATTAAACTGATGAAGCTGTACATACGTTACTGCACAGACCGTGACACCGCTCAGTTCATCTGAACTCTGCCCTGTGTGTGGCTGTCGTTTTTCCAACGTGAGAATAGTTTTTAGGCAAAGAAACTAAGCCTCTTCATATTTCCTCAGGGTTGTCATCTGACCTTGCGGGTTTTTTCCTTATCTTTAAACAATTAAAAAAAAAAAAAATCTGAATTCTTTTTACATGCTAATTTATCGTTAAATAAGACCACATAATTTGCAACTGTGCACAAGCAATACTGAACGATCAGAAGTTACAGCTTTGTGATCCACTGGGCTATGGAAACAGCATCCCGGTGAAAGCAAGGGGTGCCACATGCCGCGCCATCCAGCTTTCTGAAGATGCTGCTACAAGCCCAGACAGAGGACAAAGCTGTAACACGTACCCTGAAAAAGGCAGTTTCAGTACTGGGCTTTCATTCTCCCCTAAGCACCTGTAAGGACATCCAAAGAGAAGCTCACTGAAAGCAGCCAGCGAGGAGGACACCCACCCGCTGCCAGGAGCAAGGCTGGGGCAGCCGGCTCTGAACCCCTCCATCTCCTGAGATATGCTGCACTTTCCACGCATCCACGGGGACGTGCAAGCCACGCAGCCAGTCACCCCAGCCAGGGCAGGGCTGTGCCTGGGGGCTCGGGCTCCGTGGCAGGCTGCTTCCCTGGAGCACACTGCACCATCTGTATCCTCCTGCTCGCTATGAAAACGCTGCTTGGCGGGGAGAGGTAACGATCTGCGGAAATACCAGCGACGCCGCAGGTGTAGGGAGAACAAGCTGCTTATTTCGACAGGGCTAAAAGAACCTCTCGGCCCTGAATGCCGCGCTGTGCAAGAGCCCACACAATGAACAAGGGCAGTCCCACAGCTCCGTGCTTCTCACTGCAATTACTTTATGGTGTACTTACTCCTGAGAGCAGCATTTCGCCACTGGGGCACACAGGAGGCCTGTGTAAGGAACATTAAGTCTTTAAAGTGTCATTGAAGATCGTTCTGCTTCCCCAAAAGCCAGTCCTGAAGTGGGTCAGAAATAAATGCTTTCTGTCAATGAGATCTGTGAACAGGACACTGCCCGGCACGTAGAGCACCTCATGCCTCTTACAAAGTCATGAGCAGAAACAAAGAAAGCACTTCCATACTAACCAGCCAAAGACAGATTCCTGCACACCAAGTCTCGGGTCTTCAGAATTAAGGTGCCTTGTTCATTTTTAAGGACAACATGTGCAGAAGTAAAAATTCCAAGTTTTCTTCTTTGCACCTTACCATAAGCGTCTATTAATAAATGGGTGTGCAATTAAAACATCCCCAAATTAGCCTCAAACTCCAGAGAGCATTCAAGCTGAATTTAGGTTTTAAATCCAAATCTTATAATTATTCAATTTCCAAAATAAAGAGCCCAGTCAAAGAACGCAGCCAGTCCGTCTCGCAACAGGAAGCACTACTGCTCCTTCCAAAAGCTGACAGCTCAGCAACGTCACCTGTGAAACCCATTTTTGACATATTCTTGGACAGTGAATAACACTGGAAACATCCAGCCTCACAAAACCTTGTCTGTGGGAGAAAGATTAACACGTCACCCACACTGTGAAGAAGTGGTAAAACCTGAGATTTTATTAGTAATAAGGATTTTTATGAGTAACAAGGATTCGTGTTACTGGGAGAATGAAAACCAGAGATTAAACAAGGGGCAACAGAAGGGCGAGCTGCCATACTAATAAGGATCTCAGTAGGGCAAATTATTCTGTGCATCCCATCTTCTTTTTCTAGCGGAACCGTCTTGGCTGTTCCACTACAACAGGCTTTAGGCTGCTGGTTGCAGAAGCACTTTGTGCTGTTGCCTGCTCCTTCGTTAGGCAAAGCCTCTGATGCACTGCCGATGCCTCAATCTTCCTGAACTGCACCGAGACGGAACAGCGATCGTCCGTGTCCGCATGCAAATAATTGTGCTGATCAAGGCCAAGGGACCCGTGCAAAAGCTAAATGCCTTATCCCACACCTCTGGTATCAACTTGCGATGGTTGAAACCGAGGAGCTGCCGAGCCCACGTTAGGAGCAAGAACTTCATTTACACTCTGTGCACCACATCTCCCTGGCGACCAACCGGGAGGATCACTATCAGGACATCGTTGCTGTTTCATCAGAATTACCAAAATCTCTTGTAATTAGCAAAATCATGACTTTTCTCATTCTATCACACACCTGGCAGATAAATACATGAAAATACGCCTACAACTGTCAACCAGATAGCATCTGTTTTGACAGTCACAGTACAAAGGTCAGCCACAATCTTGCTTATAAAGGTCAATTTTCCAGCCCAGGGTGGAGGCGAAGGAGAGGGATTATTCTGGAAGTTCAGTAATACCTCTCTCCTGTCACAGCAATAAACAAAACTCCCATACACAGCTCACGTCTTGTACCTCCCCTCCCTGAAATAATCCCTAAACCACAGGTTTTTGCTTTTCCAAGAACACCCTGCTGCACAGGCGTGCTTTGTTACGTGTGGTTTTTGTTGCATTCCTACCCAGACAGATTATCAGTGTGTTCTAAATGCATTAAATACATCTGAAAAATTTACGATGGTTAAAAAAAAAAAAGTCAACAAGCAAAAGTAGCTGGAAAGACCTACATCAAGATTTCTTTTGCTTCTGATTTGAACCCTGGAACACGTATGTGCTGCCAGAGGGACCCAGACCTCACATCTCAAATCCAAGAAGTAAGGGAGGGCAGCTAGCAAGCAGGAAAAGATTTCTGGCTGCGACTGCGATTTGCAATTTTAATTTCTAACTGAATTATGCTCTGGCTATTACTGTTGTTTTGGTTTTTTTTTTTTTTTCTCTGCTGTGTGTTCTGTTTTTTAAAAAAAACTGGCTCCGCAGCAATGCTGAGAGCCGATCGGTGGTGGTGGCGGCTGTCCCACCGGCTTCTCCCCTGGGACGGGAGCGGGACAGGGGAAAAGGGCCAAGCCGTGAGCGCAGCCGTGGCGCAGCCTTCCCGCCGACTAAACCTTTCGCCTCGCCTTGGAGCCGGAGCAGCTGCTCTCGGCGAGGACCGGCGTGGCGGGCGGCGAAGTCGGCAGCTTTTGGCACAGGAGTGCGGGGCACACGCCGGATTTGCCGAAAGCCACCGGCGGGATGCGGGACGAACCGGCGGGGCAGCCAGGCTCCTCGCCCTGTTGCGTGCAAGGGCACCCGCCTCGCCCGGGCGTGGGGACCGACTACGTGGCCAGAGCGTTCCTCCTCAGCACCGTGACACGCTGGTTTTTCACATCCTTCTGCGAGGCAACGGGTGCACCCCAGGAGGAAAGCTCGGGGTCTTGGTCCTGGTGTTGAGCAGAAAGCGCCCACCACCCGACATGACACGACACGACACGACACGACCCGCGGGGCTCCATCCCGTGGGCCAAGGGAGCCCCGGTCGTCCCCCTCGCCCGTGGGGAAAGCGGCGATGGCAGGGATTTAGGGAGAGGGTTTCCTCGGGGTTTGCCACCCCCCCACCCCCCCCCCCCCCAGCCCCAGCCCCAGCCCACCCCCGCGGCGCGGCCCTACCGTCTGCTGCCGGCTCGACATGGTGACGGGCGGCGGGCGGCGGGGCCGCGCCGGGGCTATAAGGGCTCCCGCGACACGTAGCGCGTCCCTGGGCCGGCCCCTCTCGCCCTGCGCCCGCCCACGCCGCCTCCTCCTCCTCCTCCTCCTCCTCCTCTTCCTCCTCCTCCTCCTGCTCCTCCTCCGCCCCGGCGGGAGGCCGGCAGCCCGCGGGCGGGAGCGGCGTGATGGCGGCGCGGGGCCCGGCCCCCTCAGAGGGCGAGTCGCCGCTCGCGCCTGAGGGGCTGACACCCAGCGGCGCAGCCTCCCGGCGCCCAGGCTTCGCGGTAACGCCCTTAAAAATAATAATCATAATTTAAAAAAAAAAAAAAAATCAGCTCCCTGGGGTCTGCCTGGCAAGCTTTGGGCTCGGCTGGGTGGGCAGAAGCCCCGGTTCGCTGCTGAGATGGGGGCGTTTGGCCCCGCTGTGCGCGGGTCGGGGGTAACGGCCATCACCCGGGTAAGGGTGGGTCCTGCTCCCAGACGCGGACACGGACAGGGAGAGGAGGAACAGGATCCCCGCCGCACGTGAGACAAGTTGAAAAATCATCCCTGGGGGATAATAATTACAATAATAATGATGCCTAAAACCAAGCAGCTCTGGAGGCTGGCTCCTGCCCGCTTGGCCAAAATGCCAAGAAAGTTAGAAAGAAACACAGGAGTCTACCGGTCCATAAAGCTCAGCCAGTGAGGGGAACTGCACCTTATCCAAAATCCTCAATTTTCCACTGTTGGAAAAGCTCAAATCCCAGAATGTTGCTGAACTGGAGGACAGGCAACATCCTAGGGGAAGGAAACCACACTACATCCTTGGGATGGCCCATGAGCCAGCGATAAAGGAAGACGTGTTCCCCGCGGATCTGTAATTCTGCACATCAACCCAGCATGGCACCTGTCCTCTGACCACTTTCTTCTGATCCCTACCCATCCATCCGTACGAGGACAGCTATGCAAACAGTGCTGCCTCTCCTCTGGGAGGAGGTAACGCACTTCTAATCATCCCCAGGAGAGCAAGTGCTCTCTCTGGGTCCAGCACGCAGAGCCTGCTCTGAGCACCTCCTGGTACCTGTTCATCACACGATCACCAGCAGCCACGCATGTCCTTCACCGTACAAATACTCCTGTTTCATCCCTACCTTTCGTTCTGGCAGAGTTTAAAATGCTGGTGCCCTGAATGAAGCCCCTTGATGGAAAAGGAAAAAGGTGGTGGGATTTTGCAAAGCTCCCCAAGTGGGAGAAAGACCCTTAAAAACAGAAAATGGGAAAGCCCGAGGGAGAGATGAAAGGAAAGACAGTGGAATAAATGGGGTTCCTCAAATGAGGTCTTGCTGGACGAGGAACAGGGCCCAGCACGGGGAAGAAGGAGCAGGGACAACATAGAGGGGAAGGAATGGGGCTGGAAGGAGTCAAGCAGCACCTGTTCAACCACCTCCTGAAGCCAGGCAGCTATTACAGCGCAATCGGCTATCAACTGAACTAATCCCCACTGTCATTCCAGTTAAACCCATGGTATTACATTTGGGATTAACTCGCCTAAATAATACCAGGGTCACTCGTTAGCATCTCTCATTTCGTGCCTTTCCTTAGATTGTTTTTTCAATTATCCAGCTGCAGATTAAGTTCTGCCATAAAAACCAATATAGCATGGTTGCAAGAACAGGCAAACGAACCTGAACTCAATATCCATTGGAAAAGCACAGCATGGTACAAGAAACCCTCCCACAATCGTTGCCTAGCTAGGACACAGGCTACACCTCGTCCCTGCAGGGCATCGGGAGAGGAACACATTAAATGACTGAAAATCTGTGGGTGCACAGCAAAAAGGCACGAGCTGCTCAGCTTTCCCACAAGCGTGGTGGCGTCCAAGCATTATCCGAGACTGCTTGGTCTGTTTAGCTGCTGCTGAGAAGTGACTTTCTGCTGTGCTGAAACCGGAGCACCCTGAGTCAGCATCTCATCTTTTATTTGCACACAGATTTGAGTAAATTTGTTAATGTGAGAGCTTCAGAACTGATCGAATCAATGTTGACCTGGCAGGAAATGTATGTAAAATCTTGGGGAAAATACAGGTGGTTACAGATTAATCATAGTTGTCATTGTATTTGTGGCTCTGCTCTGTGGGAGCATAGAAGAGCCTGTTATTATCTCTGATGAGTTAATTATGCATCTTGATTTCTATAAGTATTATTTTTAGTTTGTGGTTTGTTGTGTTTTTTTAGCTGGATAAAAACATTTCATACTCTTCTTCTGCAGGATGAATTTTAAATTCATGTCTTTGCACCCTTACCATGTTACCTTTCCTTTGTGTATCTTCAGTAAAGAAAAAGGGTTGAAAACATACCCGACAGACCAAAGCAAGCGGGGAAATACATTTACTGAGGGAAGAGGTGCAGCCAGAGGGGGTCTATGTAAAAGAAAACGCAGAAAGAGGGGCTTCTGTAACCATAGACCACTATAAAACACTCTGGCTTCATACACAACTAGTTCCAGTGAGGACATTTTTTGAAGGAAAAACAATTATTTCTCATTAAAAATGAACAGTAGAAAGGTCGGTGGAAAGACAGAAAGCTTGTGTTACTACGTAACAGAAAAAATAGCACTGAGAGGGTGTAACACCTCCATGTTTCCCCTAGATATCTATCAGTGAGACAGAAAAAGGAGTCAACGTTATCTCCATTTGTTGCATCATTATTCATTTCTTACTTCATCCAAGCTATCTCCCTTCTAGGAATTAAATTGACTGCTCATAACCTGCCTGAGAATTTGAGCAAAGAATAAACATTTTGTATATTAAAAAAAAAAAAAAAAAAAAAATCAAGGTTTTTTTCTCCCCTATTTTCCCAAGCACAATGCAGAAAATTGTATGAATTTCTATAACATTAACTTCTAATAATGAAACGTATATGGCAATTGCCTCAAGTTTTAATTTGTGTGTGCTTTTCAAGGACGTAATTGATGAAACAGATTCAGGAATTAAGCAAGAAAGAAAAAAATCTAGTTGCTTACCCCGAGACATGCAAATTAGTGACACTCAATTAATTTTCATTAAAGAACTTCTCGGGCTATTTAACAAGCTGTAAGAGCTTCAGCCTGCCACAGCTGGGGAAAGAAGCAGCACCACAACAAAGCAGGCAGGGGGTCAAAAATCTCTCCAGAAGAGAAAAAAAGGGCACTTGAGCAGCGTCCCCACTTTGTAAGAAACGGCTTACAGAGTGATTTGGCAACTTTCAGGCCCTATTGCATATGCCAAAGCATTACAGGGAATATTTTTATTTGCGGGTATTCTCTCTCTTACAGGATCGGAGACTTCTGTTCCTCTCCTTACTGGGAGGGACAGAACAAAGTTATGCCCCAAGTATCTGCTCTTGTGCACCCAGAACAGGGATTATTCAGCACTCCCTTGGAAAATCTATATTGCCCTGACACCCTGATCTCAAAGAAGCAATAAATCTCTAGACAAAAAGCTCTCAAGAGCCCATTGTGCAACCTGTTACACTAACAGGACCCACAGAGAGCAAAATCTATATATAACTCGACCAAACAGGCCTGGTGAGCATTTGCTACAGCCATCTTCCCAGTTCAAAATCCACTGCAGCACCTTCTTAATGAAAATTCCTATCACAGCATAACCCAAGAAATTACCCCAAAGTGCTGAGACTCACGTGAACGCTTGCAAGCCAGGCATGACCGCTGGCTTCCTCAATACCTACCCCGACATGCCTCGTGTAGCAAGCTCACCACCACCAAAGTGTCCCTTGCAGCCCCCTGCCCACCTGCAAGGTGGTGGAGGTGGAAATTAAAACAGGTCACATCCTTCTTGATCCTACGAAGGTATTAACTCCAGAAGTACTGCAGCCTATGAGCAAGTGTCATGGAAGGAGAGGGGTGTCCCTTGCAGCGCTCTCCCACGTGAAAGATATCAACAGGGAGGTCACAGTCCCTGCTTTTGCACAACTACGTCTCTTAAATCCTTGCACGAATTCCCTTACCTTGCTGACATCGAGCTGGAAAAGCGTCGCCCAAATTAACATCACACCCTCAGGAGGAGGAGCCCAAAGACGGGCTGCGGTGGTATCAGCGATGCCTTTCCCTCCGCAGCTCCTGTGCGCTCTGCGTCGTACAGCTGGCAAAGCAGGAGCAAGGGGTGGAGGAAGCAGGAAGGGTGGCCGAGCTCGAATTTGTGTGCCATGGAAGCCAAGCTCTCCCGCGTGCCAGGGCTATGCCAGCCAGAGGAGTGATCCTCCCTGCGCTCAAAGTCCTCCACTGCTAGACCTTCTGCTCTATGTGCTTTCCCAGCATCGGGGAACCTGCAGATGAAGGCTTCAGCTTCAGTGCCTTGCTTTAGTTTTTCAGGCGATGGAGACTTCTCAGCTGCTTCTTCTCAGTTTCTCCTATGCTTCTCCAGCTTTGTTTGGATGACGTTTTCCTCCGTGATCGGTGAAGCACCTGCACTTCCAATGCTCCCCCAGTCCATAGCTGCCACAACATTACTCCGCAAGTTCACTCATCACCTGCAAGCAGTGAGGAGTAGATCCTACAGAGAACAAGCAGCCCAAACACAGCTCTGAGGAGAAAGCCCATGGGGGGAAATCAGTGGAGAAACAACTAAAACAGGCATATCCAGCCTCAGCAGCTTTTGGTCATACACAGGCAAAGTCACAGGGGAGGCTGCCACCCCAGCTAACGGAGCGTTCATCAGTCACCGGGAGTCTAACAAATTCTGCTCATCAAATACCAAATGCATCAAGATCGGTACCTTTGAAAATTAAATATTCCACGATTTAACATACGTAATACCTTTGGCATCAGCCTGCAAAGATACCAGCTCTGATACTGACCTGCCCCAACGAGCAGTTCCAGCTTATCTACCTCACCTTTCACCCATGGCTTTTCACAAATAATTCTGAATCCTTATGTATAAGTCAGGTCTGGATCTGCAGCCCTAAAGCCTCACTCATGAGACATCAAATCAGAAATAAACTACAAAAGAAGCAAAGCAGAGCATGTTGGAAGCACCAGAGATACGGGCTGGTAGCATTAT